TGCCCTGCCCTGCCCTGCCCTTCCCTGGCTGGGCAATGCCAGCCCCTGACCCAGCCCCACTCCCTCCTTCAGTGCAGGGACCTCAGTCTTGCCCCCCACCGTGCCCCTTCTCTCCCCCCTCCTCTTCCCCCAAAACAGACTTATCAGTCAGACACCGCTCACCACACTGCAGGGCTGCATATCAGAATTGGATCAGTATCAGCCAACATGGCTCGTTAAAAATCAGCCATTGGTATCAGCCCAAAAAATTTCTATCTGTGCACCCCTGCATAAAACCCCCATTTGCCAGACAGTTTATTTGAAGAAATGGCTCAGATTTTCAAAGCCAATGACTTTGAGAGAAAAAACACTGGAACGGTAGAAGAAAATCTAATAAATAATTTTGAATGTTGCATCTTAATTATATTTACCATCCACTGTTGAGCTACATATTTGGTTGGCAGTAAAGGCCATTCCTATATTTAGCCAAACACTAAAATTAGATACATGTGCATTTAAACACACCTAAATTTAATGCATGTTAGCTTAACGAGCATAATGTGGGTTTTGGCTGTCATCTACACGTGCAAGCATTAAAGCGCATTAATGCTGTGCGTGGACTGCCTACACACACAGTGTTAATGCGCTTTAATGTGTCTACATGTTCGTTAATGTGATTTAACTATTTGCACCTAAATTTTGCATCCCTGTTCCTGAAAGAAGGGTGTTTGTGCCCAAAAGCTTGCAAAGTACAGTTTTTCCATCTATATAGTTGGTCTGATAAAAGTTATCACATCTACCCAAAGAACCTTGTCTGCCTGTGTCCTTAGACCAACACAGGTACATCCAACAACCCCAATTCAGAAAAAAAAATCACATATTTAATGCCATTTTGGATTTGCAGAAGGAAAAAAAACAGTAAGTAAATCCAAAATTAAGTTAAAAATCTATTCAACTGTTGTGAATTTTGAATTGTTTCAGTTCTTTGCAGTTACATAGGTAGTGTTTAACAAATAATTCTGTTTTTGGAATTACATTGTTCATAGCTAATTCGGTATATAAAAAAAAATTGACAAAACTGACAAATATTTAAGTTGCATGACCATAATATATTCATTGTGTTTTTATTAGGATCTTCCTGAACCCTTATATAAAGCAGAAGAAAATAACATCCCCTGCCACTTAAGGAAATTAGAAAAAGAAGGGAAAGTGTGTAAGTGTTTGTCTCTCAAGTTATTTCTTACAGTGTGTTTAATAAATTATTGCTTAGGGAATGCAAATATGTCAATTTTTAGACATTTTTGTAGTAATTGCTTAAGCAATATAAAGTATAATTAAGTACCAGCAACTTCAGTGATACAAATATTAAGCTTACCTAAAGTTTTCCTGTAATTTCTCTGGAACTTGTGCATTATGCTGCTGTTTGTGCTGTCATGCTGTTTCTTTTGACATTTCTAAAATATTGTTTTGAGTCTTAATTACATGATTACAGAGTATCTAAAAAAAAATCTTGTTATACATACATTCCAGGAAGCAAAGTTGAAGTGGTACAACCTTAACATTTACATTTTTCTGACATTTATGGTATTTGATACATTAAGTTTATACTGTATTTAGCTTAGGGTTTTTTTCATTTTACTTTCTCAGGTATTATGGGAGAGAGATGGAGAAATCCCAGTTCTGTAGTAAGAGCCAGTAAGCACAGGTGAATGAATACCTTTAGAAAATTGGGCAAGTAGAAACCGTAAGCGTTAGTCAGCCAGGGGCTTATGAATGCTTTTTTTGTTCTTGTAGATTAAACAAGCATCTTTAATATGTGTTTATAAACCACATAAATGTGTAAGAGTTAACAGGCCATCAGTTTCCTTTAATTATTTTTTTTGCACTTTGATTATTTTTGTTTCGGTGATCAGGTTTGAATGAAATAGGTTCAGTGTCATGCTGGATTGCAAATATTCTAAACATGAGAATTTTTTTCAAGGCTAAAATTGTCTTGCAGTAAGTTTGTTTTTTTTTTCCTTTGGTGGAGTAGCTGCATATATGGAGCAAGTGGTATATTGAAGCATATTTTATGCAAAGAGAAATACAAATAAGATGCAGTGAGAATGCTATAATCCCTATAGTT